CGCTTCACGTTCAACCTCCCACAGAGCAATTTCCTGGGGATAAAACAGACGTATGCAAAACTGATCCTGGTCCTCGTCCTGGGCCCCGAACGGAAAAAAAAAAAAAAGAACGAAAGAACGAAAAGGGCGAGGGAGAAAACGGTGAATAAAAGATCAGATCTAAAGTGGTGATGGATGAGGTCTGATCTGAAGAGCGGAGACTCACCGACAAATCCATCACCGAGAAAAAAAAAACTCCCAACGCAAAGAGAAAAACACAGACGTTTAAACGGCGATAATGAAGAGAACAGAAACAAGAAACCAGGACTAAAGCAGGACTAAACCAGGACTAAACCAGGACTAAACAGGGACTAAAACAGGACTAAAGCAGGACTAAACCAGGACTAAAACGGGACAAAACCAGGGACTAATCCAGGGATTAAACTAGGACTAAACCGGGGTTAAACCAGGTCTAAACCAGAACTAAACCAGGGACTAATTGAGGGACTAAACCAGGGATTAAACCAGGACTAAACCCGGGATAAACCAGGGACTAAACCAGGACTAGAGACTAAACCAGGACTAAACCAGGACTAAACTAGAGACTAAACTGGGGCTAAACTATAGACTAAACTGGGGCTAAACTAGAGACTAAACTGGGGCTAAACCAGGACTAAACTAGGACTAGACTTTGATAAAAACCAGGAGGACAGAATGAGGACTAAACCAGGACTGAAGCAGGGACTAAACCAGGGCTAAACCAGGTCTAAACCAGGGCTAAACCAGGTCTAAACCAGGTCAAAACCTGGTCTAAACCTGGTCTAAACCAGGAACTAAGCCAAGGCTAAACTAGTACTGATCAAGAACTAAATCAGGACTAAACCAGTGACCTACCCAGTAACTAAACCAGGATTAAATCAGGACTACACTAGGACTGAACAAGAACTAAACCAGGGACTAAACCGGCACTAAACCGGGACTGAACCAGGAGCTAAACCAGGGCTGTACAAAGACCAAACCAGGACCCAACTGGAACTAAACCAGGACCGAACCAAAATAGGACTGAATCAGGCGTTAACCAGGGACAAAACCAAACCAGGACCAAACCAAATCTAAACCAGGACTAAACCAAATCTGTGAAACACCTACCCACATTTGATTTCTTCAGTTCATGACAAATAAAAATAACGATTCTGTAAACGCGGTTTCAGTTTGAGACTCGTGCAGAGACGACGAGCTGATGAAGGTTACACCCTGTGGCTTTAAAATGTCACTCAATCAGTTTAATCAAGACACAAAAATACAATTATGAATGCCATTTAAAAATAAACACGTCATCTAATATTTAATTAATACACTCTTCCTCTGCACCTCCAGTCGTCGTTCGTTAACTGATCATTTCCTCTTTGTTTAATCCAGTTTTATTCGTTCATCTTCGTCCGTTTAATCCGTTTTTATCCGTCCATCGTGTCAAAACAAAAGCTCGTGAACCTCCGCGGTCGATCAGAACCAAACCTCAATTAGATCTTTTCTAAACGGGCTGATTAACGTGTCCGCCGCCGCCGCCGCGACCGCCCCTCACTCTAACGACACCGGACACATTTTCATTCTACAGTCTCTTCTGATTACGGAGATAATGTCCGACGCACAATCACGTCCGACGCACAATAATGTCCAACGCAGACACCTTGACAGTGTTATGACAGTGTGAGGAGGACATCTTGGTAAGGTCGTGTTGGTGGTTCTGTGGTTTGGTGCCATCTTGGTAAGGTCGTGTTGGTGGTTCTATGGTTTGGTGCCATCTTGGTAAGGTCGTGTTGGTGGTTTAGGTGGTTTGGTGTCATCTTGGTAAGGTCGAGTTGGTGGTTTAGGTGGTTTGGTGCCATCTTGGTAAGGTCGTGTTGGTGGTTTAGGTGGTTTGGTGTCATCTTGGTAAGGTCGTGTTGGTGGTTTAGGTGGTTTGGTGCCATCTTGGTAAGGTCGTGTTGGTGGTTTAGGTGGTTTGGTGTCATCTTGGTAAGGTCGAGTTGGTGGTTTAGGTGGTTTGGTGCCATCTTGGTAAGGTCCTGTTGGTGGTTTAGGTGGTTTGGTGTCATCTTGGTAAGGTCGTGTTGGTGGTTTAGGTGGTTTGGTGCCATCTTGGTAAGGTCCTGTTGGTGGTTTAGGTGGTTTGGTGTCATCTTGGTAAGGTCGAGTTGGTGGTTTAGGTGGTTTGGTGCCATCTTGGTAAGGTCCTGTTGGTGGTTTAGGTGGTTTGGTGTCATCTTGGTAAGGTCGTGTTGGTGGTTTAGGTGGTTTGGTGTCATCTTGGTAAGGTCAAGTTGGTGGTTTAGATGGTTTGGTGTCATCTTGGTAAGGTCGAGTTGGTGGTTTAGGTGGTTTGGTGTCGTGTTGGTGGTTTAGGTGGTTTGGTGCCATCTTGGTAAGGTCCTGTTGGTGGTTTAGGTGGTTTGGTGTCATCTTGGTAAGGTCCTGTTGGTGGTTTAGGTGGTTTGGTGTCGTGTTGGTGGTTTAGGTGGTTTGGTGCCATCTTGGTAAGGTCCTGTTGGTGGTTTAGGTGGTTTGGTGTCATCTTGGTAAGGTCCTGTTGGTGGTTTAGGTGGTTTGGTGCCATCTTGGTAAGGTCGTGTTGGTGGTTTAGGTGGTTTGGTGCCATCTTGGTAAGGTCGTGTTGGTGGTTTAGGTGGTTTGGTGCCATCTTGGTAAGGTCGAGTTGGTGGTTTAGGTGGTTTGGTGTCATCTTGGTAAGGTCGTGTTGGTGGTTTAGGTGGTTTGGTGCCATCTTGGTAAGGTCGAGTTGGTGTTTGGGTGGTTTGGTGCCATCTTGGTAAGGTCGTGTTGGTGGTTTAGGTGGTTTGGTGCCATCTTGGTAAGGTCGTGTTGGTGGTTTAGGTGGTTTGGTGTCATCTTGGTAAGGTCGTGTTGGTGGTTTAGGTGGTTTGGTGCCATCTTGGTAAGGTCGTTGTGTTTGGTTTTGGTTGGTAAGGTCGAGTTGGTGGTTTAGGTGGTTTGGTGCCATCTTGGTAAGGTCGTGTTGGTGGTTTAGGTGGTTTGGTGCCATCTTGGTAAGGTCGTGTTGGTGGTTTAGGTGGTTTGGTGTCATCTTGGTAAGGTCGTGTTGGTGTTTGGGTGGTTTGGTGCCATCTTGGTAAGGTCGTGTTGGTGGTTTAGGTGGTTTGGTGCCATCTTGGTAAGGTCGTGTTGGTGGTTTAGGTGGTTTGGTGCCATCTTGGTAAGGTCGTGTTGGTGTTTGGGTGGTTTGGTGCCATCTTGGTAAGGACGTGTTGGTGTTTGGGTGGTTTGGTGCCATCTTGGTATGGTCGAGTTGGTGGTTTAGGTGGTTTGGTGTCATCTTGGTAAGGTCCTGTTGGTGGTTTAGGTGGTTTGGTGCCATCTTGGTAAGGTCCTGTTGGTGGTTTAGGTGGTTTGGTGCCATCTTGGTAAGGTCCTGTTGGTGGTTTAGGTGGTTTGGTGTCATCTTGGTAAGGTCCTGTTGGTGGTTTGGTTCCATCTTGGTAAGGTCGTGTTGGTGGTTTAGGTGGTCTTGGTAAGGTCGTGTTTGGTTTGGGTGGTTTGGTGCCATCTTGGTAAGGTCGAGTTGGTGGTTTAGGTGGTTTGGTGCCATCTTGGTAAGGTCGTGTTGGTGGTTTAGGTGGTTTGGTGCCATCTTGGTAAGGTCCTGTTGGTGGTTTAGGTGGTTTGGTGTCATCTTGGTAAGGTTCGTTGGTGGTTTAGGTGGTTTGGTGCCATCTTGGTAAGGTCCTGTTGGTGGTTTAGGTGGTTTGGTGCCATCTTGGTAAGGTTACGTTGGTGGTTTAGGTGGTTTGGTGCCATCTTGGTAAGGTTACTTGGTGGTTTAGGTAGTTTGGTGCCATCTTGGTAAGGTCGAGTTGGTGGTTTAGGTGGTTTGGTGTCATCTTGGTAAGGTCCTGTTGGTGTTTGGGTGGTTTGGTGCCATCTTGGTAAGGTCCTGTTGGTGGTTTAGGTGGTTTGGTGCCATCTTTGGTAAGGTGTTGGTGGTTTAGGTGGTTTGGTGCCATCTTGGTAAGGTCCTGTTGGTGGTTTAGGTGGTTTGGTGTCGTGTTGGTGGTTTAGGTGGTTTGGTGCCATCTTGGTAAGGTCCTGTTGGTGGTTTAGGTGGTTTGGTGTCGTGTTGGTGGTTTAGGTGGTTTAGGTGGTTTGGTGCCATCTTGGTAAGGTCGTGTTGGTGGTTTAGGTGGTTTGGTGCCATCTTGGTAAGGTCGTGTTGGTGGTTTAGGTGGTTTGGTGTCGTGTTGGTGGTTTAGGTGGTTTGGTGCCATCTTGGTAAGGTCGTGTTGGTGGTTTATGTGGTTTGGTGTCGTGTTGGTGGTTTAGGTGGTTTGGTGCCATCTTGGTAAGGTCGAGTTAGTGGTTGGGTGCCGTCTTTTGTCTCAGAAGTTATTTTCCATCAACTGAATATAGACAAAAATGAATGAGTCAATAGTAAATACCTGATTTAAGCAACAGGTTTTCATGTTTTGTCTAATTCTGACTTGGTTTGGTAAATATTTGTTATAGGTTTCATAACACATCAGTTAAGTGGCAGCTTGATAATGAGGAGAGCAGAGGACATAAATGAAACCAAGGATAAATCTATACCAGGATTAAGTTAGGACAAAACCAGGACTAAACCAGGAGTAAAATCCGTGGGGGAAAATATAGTAAAAATGTTTAGTCCATGGTTTAGGCCTGGTTTAATCCTCTTGTTGTCCTTTCATACCTGGTTTAGTCCTATTTTAGTTCAGGTTTTAGTCCCTGGTTTAGTCCTGGTTTAGTCCCTGGTTTTGTCTTGGTTTTGTCCTGATTTAGCCCTGATTTAGCCGTGGTTCAGACCTGGTTTTGTCTGTTTTTTGTCCTTGTTTAGTCCTGGTTTCATCCTTGTTTCATCCTGTTTTAGTCCTGGTTTAGTCCTGGTTTAGTCGCTGTAAAACACAATGACACTGAGCATTATTGAAACTTACGAGAAACTAAATCACCGTGTCATTTCTCGTCTTTTCCAGCTGGTGGCGGTGTTTGAGATCGAACGCGAGCGCCTGCACTCGCCCCCGGAGTCTCTGTCGAACGGATACTCCAGCTCCAGCCCAGTCCAGGAACCAGACCCAGACCCAGAACCAAGACGAGGACCAGGACCGGGACCGATGACCAGCTACTACCCGCACCTGGAGTACGAAGACCCGACCAGCGGCGAGATCGAAGTCACCGAAGCCACGCTCAGAGGAAGTAAGTGGGACATGGTTTGCGGTTACGTCGCGCTGGGGATGTTGTACATGCGCGTGCACGGTGGAATGTTCTGCCGTTACCGTGGAGACGCAATTCACGCTTCAGCAAACTCAGCTCGTCTGCTGTAGCTCCAACTAAATCAGTTCTTCTTGGTCAGATTGTGTCAAAATAAGCTTCAAACGCCTCATTAACGACTTTATGCAAATGAGCAGCTCGTTAGACGTGTTTTTAGCAAGTTTACCCTAGAATAAACCCGTGTTACCTTGAATATTTACACTAACATTTCCATATTAAATGAGTAAAATTATGTACGCAGGAGGGCCGGTAAATATAAAAGAAAACTTGTGTTAATTTAAAAATAACCCAACACCAGGGAAGACTAATCAACACTTTATAAATGTGAGAAAATTACAGATGTTATAAAAATCATTTGTTCACAGCTGCACAGATGGAGACGTCTTCACTTTTATTACTTTTATTACTTTTTTTTCTCCACCCAACGATGTGAATGTTCCAGCATAAAACGGGACAGAATGAACTGAGTGACTTAGAGCGCACTCACACCAGAACTTTAGAACTTTGCCGTGACGTTTGTTTGTAGCAGATTCGCTGTGTGTTTTAGAGCAGATTTTATTCACTGTTTTCCTCAGAAGAGTGACATCAGGCCTCGTACCGGGCTCGTATACTAAAGTTGTGCGTCGGTGTCGTGCTTTGGCCTAGACGTCTGCGTGGGACCGAATTTTCAGTCCCGCTCCTGCTCGCAAATCCCGCAAGATGAAGGCTTTCACTTTCTTTAGCTTCATCAAACACGGAGAAGCGGAAAGGAATAGTCTGTCATATGGGACGGGATGGTCCTCGCGGCGTACAGAAGGGGGGATGGTCCGTGTGGCGGTCCGCGCGACGTAGGGGGGGGACGGTCCGCGCGACGTACGGGAGGGGGGGACGGTCCGCTGCGACGTACGGGAGGGGCGACGTCCGCGAAGGGGGGGACGGTCCGCGCGACGTACGGGGGGGACGGTCCGCGCGACGTACGGGAGGGGGGGACGGTCTGTGCGACGTACGGAGGGGGGGGACGGGGGGGACGGGAGGGGAGGGGGGACGGTCCGCGCGGCGGTCTGCGGCGTCCGTACGCCGGACGGTCCGGGACGGTCCGGCGTGACGTACGGGAGGGGGACGGTCCGCGTGACGGTCCGCGTGACGGTCCGCGTGACGTACGGGGGGGGGGACGGTCCGCGTGACGTGTCCCGCGTGACGGTACGGGAGGGGGACGGTCCGCGTGACGGTCCGCGTGACGTACGGGAGGGGGGACGGTCCGCGTGACGGTCCGCGTGACGGTCCGCGTGACGTACGGGAGGGGGGACGGTCCGCGTGACGGTCCGCGTGACGTACGGGAGGGGGGACGGTCCGCGTGGCGGTCTGTGCAATGTACGGGAGGGGAGAGGGTCCGGTCTGTGTGACGTACGGGAGGGGGAACGGTCCATGTGGCGGTCTGTACGACGTACGGGAGGGGGAACGGTCCATGTGGCGGTCTGTGCAACGTACGGGAGGGGGGACGGTCCATGTGGCGGTCTGTGCAACGTACGGGAGGGGGGACGTCCATGTGGCGGTCTGTGCGACGTTCAGGAGGGGGAGGGTCCGGTCCGCATGACATACAGGAGAGGGTTATTGCTATTATTTCATAGTTTTGTCTTGTTTGTTTAAAGGACCCATATTACAGGATTTTCTACTACTACTACTACTACTACTACTACCACCACGCCTCCGCCTCCTCCTCCTCCTCCTCTGTGACTTGAGCGTGTGTGACCTGTAGTGCTTGTGCCTGTGGGTGATTAGCAGGACATTGATCCACTCCTCCACATGAGCGGGGGACATGTCTGGGGAGAGGGAAGTCCTTATCGCCTGTGTCCCAAATGGAGCATCGATCGAGGGGAAACAAGAGACACTACAGCCCCCAGGACCACACGTTTACACACTAGAGAGCTACTACTACTACTACTACTACTACTACTACTACTACTACCACTACTACTACTACTACTACTACTATTATTACTACTTTTAAAAACGGAGTAAACGGCTGTACACAGAGTTCATGGAGTCTGTGTGTCAAACAAAAATATATTTTTATTATTTACATTTCATGATTTAGTGACATGACCAAAAAAATTACACAAAATAATGCTTGGTCCCAATTATTATTACTACTACTACTATTACTACTATTACTACGTACTGTCTTCTACTTACTACTTACTACTACCTAGTACTTAAATTTGGACAAGCTTTATTGATCCACACGGGAATTTATATATAATACTACTAATACTACTTACTACTACTTACTACTACAACTTCTACTACTACTACTAATACCACTACTACTGCAATTATTACTACTTTTACTACCACTGCTACTGCTATTGCTACTACTAGTACTACTGCTACTACTAAAACGACTTATATTACTATATCTACTAATTATACTACAACTACTACTATATTAATACGACTACTACTACTACTTATATTACTACAATTACTATTATTACTACTCTTACTGCTACTACTACTACTACTACTACTACTACTACTACTACTACTACTACTAAACCTACTACTTCTACTTCTTATATTACTAGTACTACTACTACTATTACTACTGCTGCTACTGCTTCTACTACTGCTACTATTACTACTACTACTACTATTACTACTACTACTACTACTACTAGTAGTACTACTATTACTACTACTACTACTACTATTACTACTACTACTACTACTATACTACTACTACTACTACTGCTACTACTACTACTACTACTACTACTACTTACTACTACTACTACTACTACTACTACTACTACTACTACTACTACTTATATTACTACATCTTCTCATTATATTACCACTTCTTCTGCTACTTATATTACTACTGATACTACTACTTTTATTATTATTACTACTACTACTAAATATATTACTTCTACTACTACCTAGTACTTGGTAGTACGTAGACAGGCTTTATTGATCCACAAGGGAAATTATTATAATACTGCTACTACTACTACGACTCTTATATTATTACTACTATTACCACTACTACTATTACTACTACTACTACTACTACTGCCTACTAATACTAGTACTACTACTACTACTCCTTTCTTGTAAACACTGTTGTAATAATCTCGTCTCTTCACCGTTTTCCCTCGAGAGCGTCTTGATCCTCGTCCGACACAAGTTCATCGATATCGGCCACGCCCCCCCGGTCACGACCCGAGCCCGCGCGGGTCAGAGGTCACGGTGGGCGACCCCTGCGTGACCCCCGGGCGACCCTCAGGTCCCTGGACTCGGCAGCGGTTTGATTGATGGAGAGGAAGAGGTGTAATGGACGCGGTTAAGTGAAGCAAGATTTATGAACTCGACCTATGGATTTAATGGGGACTAAGTGTGACCGTGGACTCGGACTCGGACTCGACTCGGACTCGGACCTGGACCTGCATGAGGGCGGGGGGTAGAGTCCTGTTGGTTTTTTGGGTTTTTTTTGTACTTGAGCAAGTACAAATAATAAATATGTAATGAAGTAATAATGTAATGAAATAAATGTAAAAAAAAATCTATCTGTGTATCATTCATTCGTTTTTCAAAATAAAACCAAAAAAATAAAACAGACTGAACCAAGACTGAACCAGGACTGAACCAGGACTAAAACAGGACTGAACCAGACTGAACCAGGACTAAAACTGAACACTGGACTAAAACTGGACTGAACCAGGACTGAACCTGGACTAAAACAGGACTGAACCAAGACTAAAACAGGACTGAAACAGAACTAAATCTGGACTGAACCTGGACTGAACCTGGACTGAACCTGGACTAAAACAGGACTAAAACAGGACTAAAACAGGACTAAAACAGGAGGACTAAAACAGGACTAAAACAGGACTGAACCAGGACTCAACCAGGACTAAAGCAGAACCAAAACAGGACTAAACCAGGGCTGAACTACGACTGAACCAGGACTGAACCAGCAAGCAGGACTAGAAATGGACTAAAACTGGACTAAAACAGGACTAGAAATGGACTAAAACAGGTTTAGTTCTGGTTTAGTCCTGGTTAAGTCCTGGTTCAGTGCTTGGCATGTGTCCTTGGCAAAACTCCAGCGTCTCGATCTCAATAAATAAATCCTGCGAAGTGATGTCGAGTCGCGTCTGTGAATTCGTGTTCGTACTGAAGAAAGCGAAACCGTTTCATTTTATTTCGCGATTGTAATTCTTGAAGTCGTAATTTTTCAATCCATATTCTGATGGACGCTTCAGTTAGAATGTTTTTAATTTGTGTAGGATTTATCACGGTCACGGGCGGGTGCGGGTTTAACTTTGATATAATCTCGGGTTAAAGGTTGTATAGAGGATTTTTTAAGGGAAGAGAAATACAGCGACAGTCCTTTTTCAAATGTTGTGCATGAGTGACACTGTTAGGTTTATCTAAACATTAAAAACAAGAAGAAAGACAAGAGATTAATTCAGTTTTACTCGCAGGAGAACGGGCAGAGAGTGGCATCAAAACCAACAGTCTCCACACTTCTGATGACTCAGGCCGTTCTCCTCTTTTTATTTCTTAGGAGGCCCTAGTTACAGAACGATAATTCTCAAGGGGAAGGGGAACAGCCAAGACATAATAAGAAACTGATGAAGCTATGCATAGTCCAACACATAAAACATGATTAACAGTCAGGAGTGCCTTAGGTTTGGTCAGACACCATCATAACTCTTGCATGTGTGACAGTGGAAGTTGGCTTCATGTGAGAATCATCTGGAGGTTCACTAGAGCGACAGACACTGCACACAGTTGTCAAACACACAGAGGTTATTCAACAAGTGACAAGTGATTGGTTCATTATAAATCAAAGAATTGTAGTACATAAATGGTTAACTCATAGGCCTAGAATATCACACAAGTATTTAGCAAATATGGGATAATAAAATTATTCTGACAGACACCACCTTCCTCCTCCACAGCCTCAGTAGAAACACCTCCTCCCGCCTCTTTACTCTAGAAATCACGCTTGTTTACAGTCAGTGCGCGTTCAGAATTACTGTTGAAGTTTCCTGTCTAGAAATAATTTAGCGACCGACACGTCAGTTTTTAGACCCTTCGTCTGCTTAATTTGCGCGATCACTGGATGGAATCTCCCAAGAATCACCTCAGTTTGTCTTCGCTCCTTTTCCACTTCTCTTCTTCTTTCAGCGACCTCAAAAACCGACTTTCTTTTGCGGTGAACTGGTCGTGGATTCTCGACAAACTTTGTGAGAATTGTGAGGAAGCTACAGTTTGAAAAAGCCTCAAAGAACGCGCATAAACCACGTGATCCAGCGCGCCGGCGAGTTTAACACTAGAAACAACCTAACAGCCAATAGAAAATGAGGCAGCCTCGTTTTCTATTGGCTGATGTTTATCTGGCCTCAACACGTCCACAGTTGATAGATTTTCATTCTTTTTTTTTTTGGTCATCATAATTACAAGGCTGCTGCGTCTCTGTAACGGTATTTAAAACTTTCAATGACAATTTAAAACAAAGAAAAAATCCTCCATACAACCTTTAACGGGCGGGTGCGGGTCTCCACAAATGGACCCGTGCAGGACTTTGTCAGATAATGTTATTACCTCTTTAAAAAACAGACCTGGACTTTTGTTTTGTTTCATTCCTTTTACCTTTAGTTCAGATTCAGATTGACAATTCCAGAGCTGAAACGATCCAAATGATTCGAGTGAAGGTGTGTGGAGTTTAAAAACACAACTCCATTTTTCTTTTTTTTTTAAATTAATTATTACTTTATTGATTGACATTTTCATTTTAAAACAAATATTCTACAGCAAAAAAAGAGAGAAAAAATAAACGATGACAAGGACAAGCTTATTTTTGGTGCCGAATAATTATTAAATCACACTGTAAGCGTCACAATAAAAGAAATAATGAAACAAAATGTGAAAGTATATGAAACTCCAAACTGTTTTTGATGAGGAAACATTACAACATTGATCAGAAAATGGCGTAATATTTGCTCTTTTTTATAATTTTTTCAGTGTTTGTGAGTGATTTAAGAGTTTAAAATGACAAAACTCACAGTGACTAAACGTTCTCGTGCAGAATGACTCGTCACTGTCAGTTTTTTCTAATCCACTTTGGCGAAACGCGACTCCGAACACGAGTGCGCCGTGGCCCGGGTGACTCCGTGTCCAAGTCGTTCCGCGTGTCCATTTTTCACAGCAGAAGCCGCCGACCTCCTCGCTCCCGCCGCCGCCAGACGCCGCCGCGCTTGTGCTTTTGAGCAAGACCCTGTCAGCGACGCTCTAACTCAGATGGATCACCGGAAATACTCGCAGCGTTCTGCTCGTCTCGGTCGACTCTGTGGGTTTTCCCGACGGTCTCAGACTAAAAGTGTTTTTGTGATTTGATTTGTTTTAATAATACATCAAAATAAAATAAAAAATAAACTTAATATTTTAAATTCGTCTAGAAAAAAATGACAAAAAGAATCAAATCTGAGCTGACAAAGCAGAGAAATTAAAACAACCGAACTAAATAAGGACTAAACCAAAACTGAACCAGGACTAAACCAGGACTAAACCAGGACTGAACCAGGACTAAACCAGGACTAAACCAGGACTGAACCAGGACTAAACCAGGACTGAACCAGGACTAAACCAAACCAGGACTTGAAGGACTAAACCAGGACCTGACAGGAGAACCAAAACTGAACCAGGACTAAAAGCAGGACTAAAAAAAAGGACTAAACCAGGAACAGGACTGAACCAGGACTGAACCAGGACTGAACCAGGACTAAACCGGGACTAAACCAGGACTAAACAAGGACTAAACAAGGACTAAACCAGGACTTAACTAGGACTTAACCAGAACTGAGCAAGGACTTAAAAAAGGACTTTAAAAAGGACTGAACCACAGACTAAACCAGGGACTAAATCAGTACTAAACTAAAACAGTTGAACTAAACCAGGACTAAACCAGGACTAAACCAGGACTAAACCAGGACTGAACCAGGACTGAGCCAGGACAGAAACAAAAGTGAGGCAAAACTGAACCAGAACTGAACAAGGACCAAAGCAGGACTAAAAAAAAGGACTGAACCAGGACTAAATTGGGACTTAACCAGGACTGAACCTGGACTATAAAAAGGCCTGAACCAGGACTGAACCGGGACTAAACCGGGACTAAACCAAAACTGAACCAAGACTAAAAGCAGGACTAAAAACAGGACTGAACAGGACTGAACCAGGTCTGGACCAGGACTATAAAAAGCCCTGAACCAGGACTTTAACCAGAACTAAACCAGGACTGAATCAGGACTAAAGAATGACTAAAGCAGGGACTAAGCCAGGACTCAAAAAAAAGGACTAAACCAGGACTAGAATCACGCAGGTGTTTCAGAATCCACCTTTTACTTCATCACCCAAGTTGTAATTTCACCTGAATCTGTTTATTTCTCTCTTTTATTTCCACCTTTCTGCTCTTAAACACCATTTGCATTTTTCGCCGGTAAATAAGTGAAATCCGCCGCGTCGCCGTCGCGTTCAACAGCTGCCGCGCGCCTCCCGATCATCTCAAGTGGATGCAGATTTTGCCCCGGCGCTCGTGCGGAGGCTGGGGGCTGTTTTTTTTTTTTTTTTCCCGGCTCCTCGTGTGGGCGGAGCGGGTCAACACATGCCTCATAATCGCGCGCTGAACCGAGTGGGCGGACGGAGCTGCAGAAATGGATTTGAAAACTATTTATTGACTCACGTATCGCCCTTTTTGTGCTTTAAAACCGACTCTATTTACTGTTTTTCTGTGTGATAAAGTAGAATTGTGTCTCGCCCCGGTACAGATTTATGGTATTGAGATTAAAATAAATCCGCTGTTTTGTGTTTGCGTCGAATTACAACGAGTTTTAATGTCAGAGAGTCAGGATGTAAGGCTGGTGCGTTGTTAGCATGCTAGTTGTTGTGGATAAACTCAACTCTGGTCTCTGAAAGTGTGAAAAAAATGTATAAACTCATGGTGGTGAATAGAAAGAAACTGTTGCTCTTGTTTCCTTTCCTTTTTGAGCGCCCTCTGGTGGTTAGACCTGGTTTAGACCGGGTTTAATCATTGGGTAGACCTGATTTAGGCTGGATTTAATCCAACCATAGACCTGGTTTAGTCCAACCGTAGACCTGGTTTAGGGTGTGTTTATTTCATCGGTAGACCTGGTTTAGACCGGGTTTAGTCCATTGGTAGACCTGTTTTAGGCCGGGTTTAGTCCTTGTTTAGACCTGGTTTAGGGCAGGTTTAGTCCAACCATAGACCTGGTTTAGTCCAACGATAGACCTGGTTTAGACTGGGTTTAGTCCAGCGATAGACCTGGTTTAGGTCGAGTTTACTCCTGGAATTCAATAAAAAAGCTCGAAAAGCTCAAGAGACATTCTGACTGTGAGCGGGGTCGCCTCTCCACAGATCTGACCTGTAACTTGGTCTGTTTGGTCTCCATGAAGATAGAAAGGTTTAATGCCACACTGTGAAACATTCCAGACAAAGCAATAACATTTCCATGGAGAAAAGGGTTTGATGAACCCTCCACCAGAAAAGTTACACAGTGCAGCTTTAAGTCCTGCAGTAAAATAGTCAATAAACTCAACAAAACTCTGTGACTCATTAATATTCCTGTGTTGTTCTGTAGACACGCCTCTGTTGGTGCGGAGCAGCAGTGACTCTGTGTTAGCCCCGCCCACCATCACCAGAGCCACGCCCCCTCCAGAGGACCGCACCGCTGTGAGGACCCCAGACCCGGTGAGTCTGTCACAACAACTTTATTTCATCATTATTAATGTCAGAAGTGTCGGGCACTTGGAGCTACTTTTCTCTGTTTTTTAAACCTCTTGTTTTCCTACATTGTCCTCGTGTAAAGTGACTGTAGCGTCTGTATATGAAATGTTCCTGAACCTGGTTCGACATGTAAATGAGCTGTGAACAGACGTGGGATTTATCTCTATTTATGCACATAAGTTATAAGCTTTTTTAAATTTATATAGTGCTTTTCACAGACACATGTCACAAAGACACTTTACAGAACATTATTCATTCACTCCACACCTGGTAGTGGTAAACTACTATTGAAGCCACAGCTGCCCTGGGGCAGACTGACGGGAGTGAGGCTGCCAGTTTGCGACATTGGCCCCTCCGACCACCAACATCACTCACACACACACCACTTTCATACGAGGCAATGTGGGTGAAGTGTCTTGCCTAAGGACACAATGACAGTTTTTACGACTGGTGCCCCCCTGTGGCTCCTGATTTTCCCAGGTCCCATCCCCAAGTCCAGACCAGGACCAGGCCAGGACCTGATGAGCTTCTGAGCTTTTACAAGTCGGTATGACCACATATATGATTAATTACAGCGGCACACATGCATTTACCTCTAAAGGCTGATAACGGTAGTTGACTTACTTTGTTTACTGGTTCGACCAGGGGTGGGCAAGCTACGGCCCGGGGGCCATATGCGGTCCTTTAAACCATTTAATCCGGCCCACCGAACTGGAATAAATCACAATAATAAACCTTGTTGATGTTTTATTTTTCATGCATTTCCGGCGTTTCCCAGTAGATGGCGCAGTATATATACATTGAGGTGCGGCGTATTATGTTGGCCCCAATGCTTTATGGGAAAGTGTTCTTACAGGAGTTATTCGGAACATGAGTGAAGTAGAAGTGTTGAAGATATAAGGCTCCACTGCTTCCATTTTGAGAAGGTTAAAATCAAAGACTAAAACTATACAGACGTTGTGTTATATAGGTGTAGTTTGTAACTGTACGTGGTGAGTACTTTGTCTTGTAGGTGTAGTAGTGTGTGTGTGTGTTGTACTGTGTACTGTGTGTTGTACGTGTAGGTGTACGTGTGTGTTGTACGTGTAGGTGTAGGTGTGTGTTGTACGTGTAGGTGTAGGTGTGTGTTGTACGTGTAGGTGTAGGTGTGTGTTGTACGTGTAGGTGTGTGTGTGTTGTACGTGTAGGTGTAGGTGTGTGTTGTACGTGTAGGTGTAGGTGTGTAGGTGTAGGTGTACGTGTACGTGTACGTTGTGTGTTGTACGTGTAGTGTGTGTGTACGTGTGTGTGTGTGTTGTACGTGTAGGTGTACGTGTAGGTGTAGGGTGTGTATGTGTGTGACTTTGTGGCGTGGGCTTGGTGAGGTGGGGATTTCTCAGTAAAACTTAATCGCTCATGATTCACCTTCGCCTGTGGTGTGCAGTGGGGCAGATCTGTTAACTTTTCATGTGTTCTGAATCTTTCGTGGCGATGTTGTAGTGTGTAGTTCACTTCCTACATAAGCGCAAATACGAATATAATGCAGCCGAGCTCTAAACACGTCATGTCCTGTGTTCTGTCCGGCCCTTCAGTCAGATTTTAGGACCCTATGTGGCCCGCGAGCCAAAAAGTTTACCCACCCCTGGGTTGGACTGTGATGCAAAAATACCATAAGTCCGAACTACTGTCTTTAAATATGACGTAAAGAGACAGAATAACAATAAATGTCGCCTAAACAAACCCAATTTAAAATCTAATAGAGTCAAACCTAAGATTTATAATCAGCTGAAGATTTACTGAGAATTTTTTCAACACTAAATAGATCTGGTTTAATATCGGCTCCTCAGAGTCTGTTATGTCTGTTTCATATCGGATCAACTATTGAACCGACCTGGACCACAGACGGATTTACACAGATAAATATGAAAAATGTGATATTTGACTAAACCTGGAGTTGTTTTAGAAACTCCACCGTGACTGAAACGGAGGAAATGCCGAGTTCATCGCGTGGGTCTAAAGTGCAGCTCGTCTTTGGTCTTTGACTGAAAACCTCCAGGCTACACTTTGTAAACCTTTCAAGAGCCGAGCTTTTTGTCCAAACAGGCCACCGTACATTAGGCTTTGCTTTTTTAACCCCAGGACTCAAGATGCACTGTAAAAACATCGAGTTAAAGGACTAAACCAGGACCAGGACTCTATAAGAACTCTACCAGGATTAAACTGGGACTAGACCAGGGTTAGACCAGGAGGAGACCAGGACTTGACCAGGGTCTAATCAGGACTAAACCAGGACTAAACCGGGTTTAATCTAGACCTAGGGGGAACTATAAGGACTAAATCAGGACTAAACTAGTGGGATTGAACCTGGACTAGACCAGGTCCAAACCATGGGGTAAAACAAAGAATAAACTGGGACTAAACCAGGACCAATCCAGACTCTTAATCATGGTCTAAACCAGGAACCAAACCAAGAATTAAACCAAGACTAAACTAGGGCCAAATCAGGACTAAACCTGGATTAATCTAGGACTGAACTAGGACTGAAGCAGGACCAGACCAGGTCTAAAACAACAGACACACCGAGACTAGAACTAAACCAAGGACTAAACCAGGACTAAACTAGGGCCAAATGAGTACTAAACCAGAGTTAAAATGGTCTAGACCAGAACTATATTCTGGGTCTAAACTAGGACTAAACCATTGTCTACAAACCAGGACCAAACTGGAATAAAACTGGGACTAAACCAAGGACTAAACCAGGGTCTAAACTATAAGGAAACCAGAACCACACTGGGACTAAACTGGGACCAAACCAAGGACTAAAATAGGGCCAAACTAGGACTAAACCAAAGGTAAATTTGATCTAAACCAGGATTAAATCTGGGTCTAAAATAGGACTAAACCAGGACTAAACTAACGTCAAACCAGGACTAAAACAGGGCCAAACTAGGACTAAACCAGAGTTAAACTTGGTCTAAATCAGGACTAAATCTGGATCTAAACCAGGAATAAACCAGGGTCTAAACTAACGACAAACCAGGAAACTAGTATGAAACTGAAACTAAACCAAGGACTAAACCAACGATAAACCAGGACTAAACTAGAATGAAACCGGGACTAAACCAAGGACTAAACCAGGGTCTAAACTATAAGGAAACCAGAACCAAACTGGGACTAAAGTGGGACCAAACCAAGGACTAAAATAGGGACAAACTAAGACTAAACCAGAGTTAAACTTGGTCTAAATCAGGACTAAATCAGGGTCTAAACTAACGACAAACCAGGACTAAACTCGTATGAAACTGAAACCAAACCAAGGACTAAACCAAGGACTAAACCAAGGACTAAACCAAGGACTAAACTGGAATAAAACTGGGACTAAACTGGGACCAAACCAAGGACAAACTAGGACTAAACAAAAATTAAACTAGATCTAAACCAGGATTTAATCTGTGTCTAATATAGGACTAAACCAGGACTAAACCAGATCTAAACCAGGTCTAAACCAGGTCTAAACCAGGTCTAAACCAGGCCCAAACACAAGCATCTATATTATGATTAAATTGTGTTATATTCCTCGTCTCTTTGTGTATTTATTGCTTGTGAAAACACGACAGATAATTGATGAGTCGTGTGTGTGTGTGTGTGTGTGTCGTGTGTGTGTGTGTGTGTGTCATGTGTGTGTGTGTGTGTGTGTCGTGTGTGTGTATGGATCACTGAAGCCACGCCCCTTTTCCGATCCTCCCGTCTAAATATGATTGATTTTCTGTAATGGATTCAGACTGGACTCGTTTTTCTCCGAGCGTCGTGTTCTTCAGTTGTTTAACACGTTTAGACAAATAAACGTGAAGAGTTTGACACGAGCTCGACGCAGAACGAGTCACAACAGACGCTCGAGTACTGCAAATACTACTACTACTACTACTACTACTACTACTACTACTACTGCTGATCCTAGTACTACTACTACACTACTCCTAGTACTACTGCTACTACTACTACTACTACTACTTACTACTTACTACTACTAGTACTACTACTACTACTGCTACTACTACTACTACTACTACTACTACTACTACTACTACTACTACTACTACTACTACTACTACTACTGCTACTACTACTGCTACTACTACTACTGCTGATCCTAGTAGTACTACTACTACTACTACTACTACTACTACTACTACTACTACTACTACTGCTACTACTACTGCTACTACTTACTACTAGTAGTACTACTACTACTACTACTACTACTACTACTACTACTACTGCTACTACTACTGCTACTACTACTACTGCTGATCCTAGTACTACTACTACTACTACTACTACTACTACTACTACTACTACTGACTACTACTACTACTCTACTACTGCTACTACTACTACTACTACTAGCTACTACTACTGCTACTACTACTACTACTACTACTACTACTACTACTACTACTACTACTACTACTACTACTAGCTACTACTACTACTACTGCTACTGATCCTATACTACTACTGCTACTACTACTACTACTACTACTACTACTACTACTACTACTACTACTACTACTACTGCTACTACTACTACTACTACTACTACTACTACTACTACTACTACTACTACTACTACTACTACTACTACTACTACTACTACTACTGCTGCTACTACTACTACTACTACTACTACTACTACTACTACTACTACTACTACTACTACTACTACTACTACTACTACTGCTACTAATCCTGTACTACTACTACTACTACTACTTACTACTACTACTACTACTGCTACTACTACTACTACTACTACTACTACTACTGCTATCCTACTACTACTACTACTACTACTACTACTACTACTACTACTACTACTACTACTACTACTACTACTACTGCTACTACTACTACTACTACTACTACTACTACTGCTATCCTACTACTACTACTCCTACTACTACTACTACTACTACTACTACTAC